TCTATGTGAAGCTTTGGATCTACTTCTAAAGGACCAGCCTAAACTCTCTCATTGTCAGAGTTTCCCAACCTCCTTCCCCTTCAGCCTGAGCATCATAGAAGTCCGCCTCCACAGAGCTGCCTCCCCAACCCAGGGCTTCCCTGCTATTAACTATACTAACTAACCCGCTCCCCTGCAGGGGAAGCCCCTCCCAGATCCCTTCTTGTACTGGGTCTTAAGCCCAACTCCCCACACCCTTGCATAATTCCGGTTTTACCCATCATAGCGCACCCCACCCTGCCCAGCTGGTGATGCACCACCAAGCCCTCCTCCTCCTCAGAGAGAGCAGCTTGGAAAATCTTTTTTTTGTGCCTCAAAAAATTAGAACTAGGCTTGTCCAGCCCTGGCAGTGTTAGCAATCATCTGCTGGAGACGCATACAAATTTGAGTAAAAAAAAGCCAAGCAGCTGCATTCTCCCAATCCCCAGGGCCCTAGAACACACCCCACAAAAAGCAGAATCCTTTCTTGGAATATGGAATGTGGGATTCAGTGAAAAGCTTCTGACCGAACCACCTTTCTCCTGGGCTCTCACATTATCCGCCTAGGAGAGGCCTGGGTCTAAAGGGAGGTGTTCACATCTATTGATTCTTACTTTCCCTGTCAGCCTGGCCACCGGCAACATGACTTGGCAGAGCCTAGCAGTTCTCCCTGAGCCTCTGACTGGTACAATCAAGAATTTTTACTTTGAGGCTCAGTCAGCTTTCTGATGAAAGGAATTCACTGTGTCTCAGCGTAGGTATTGCCTGTGTCAATGCGCATGTGGAAAAAATCAGAAGCTGGAAGCCAATAGTTAATGCGTTGAATCTCTTGTATTTAACACATTCTCTGGCTGAGATTCAAAGTGAAAGATTAAATGCTGGTGACCTAGGGGCTAGCATCATCAGTGGCTCTAGAAAAGTCCCCTCCCTCTATGATGCACCATTTAGACTGGGAAGATTGTTCCCCGTGGACCACACCTCCAGGGATGTGCATCTTAATTGAAGAGCGAAATATCAAGCAACTTGATCAATAACAATAACCTGTCATTGATAACTACAGGTTAATGTTCTAAGAAGAGCAGCATTCAAATTTCTAATCAAGGGGCCATTGTTACTGATAAAAATTACCCCCTCTTGGCTCATCCCTATCTTTGAAACACTCATCCTACACAGGTTGGAAAGTGATCACTTGTTTAGGAAACTTCACTCTGTCTACATGATCACAACCACTGAGAGGTTTACTTAAACCGATAGTGGAATTAGGGACTGAGAGGCAAGGCTAAGAGAAAGACATTACATTTAAAGCAGCATCTAGTTAGCAGCTGCCTGATGTAGCTTTCCCCAACTCCCCACTAAAATATATACAGACACAGAAAAAGATTAAAAACCCTAAGTCATTCAGTCATGCAAAAAATATTCATCTGACAAGCACTGAGTAAATAGTCACTGCTTTCAAGGAATTTCTGGTGCAGTCACTAAACCAAACTCTGTCTTAGTTAACTATTGCTGCGTAACAAATTACCCCACAGCTTGGGAGCGTAAAACAATATTTATTCTTGTGGGTCACAGTCCAGCCAGGGCTTAGCTGGGTGCCTGGTTCTGGGTCTCTCACGGAGCTGTAGTCATCTCAAGGCTCAAGTGGAAGGATCTGCTTGCTTCCTCGCTCATGTGGTTGCTGGTGGGATTCAGCTCCTCAGTGGTTGTTGGACTGAGGATCCCCGGGTTCTTTGAGGTATGGGCCTCTCCACAGAGCATCTCATGACGTGACAGCTTTTGAGGAGCTGTAATAATGAAACAGAAGGGAGTACATCTGGAGACAAGCAGGAACCCTCCTCAATTCTCCTCCCATCCCCCACTCACTGCTGAGCGTTGGGGGGATCTTCAAGGTTTCATGCCTACCCATCTGTATCTAGACTTTCTTCTTGTTCCTCCCTTCATTGATTTAATCCATTCAATTACTATTTAGCGGCTCTCTCTAGGTGCCAAGAACTATGCAGTGGGAATATAGCAGTGAACAAACACATTTCCGATTCTTAGAGAGTTTACATTCCAGTAGAGAAGACAAATGATAAAAAAGAACTGTTTAGTATATCAGAGATAAGTGTTATAGAAAAATAACGTGGAATAAGTGGGAGAGGGAGTGCTAAGAAATGTGTGTGTGTGTTTGTGTGTATGGGCCTGTGTTTGTGTATGTGTCATGGTGGGAGGTAATAATGTGAGAACTGGGCAGGGGACTAAAGGAAGGTAGAGGTCCTGGGGTGGCGGTGTGCTTGGCATGTTTAGGGAACAACAGTGAAGTCAGTGGGGCTGGAGCAAAGCCAGTGAAGTAGAGAACAGACAGACACAAGGTCTGCGGGATAGTTGGGCAGCGGAAAGTAGTGGAGTTCACTGAGCAATAATTTGAAGGGTTTCGTAAGCCATTTTAAGATTTTAGATTTTCCTCTAAGATGGGACACAATGGGTGGATTTAGAGAAAAGGAGCAACATAATCTGATGTAAGACGACTTGGCTGCTAGGTTTAAGAAGAAACTGGCAGCGGGGCAAAGGTGGAAGCCAGGAGACCAGTTGTAAAACTACGGAAATAATCCAGGCAAAAGTAAGAAGTCATTGGATTCTGGATATATTTTAAAGAAGAACAAATATGATTCAATGAAAGATAGAACATGGGATATGAGAAAAAAAGAGGCATTAAAGATGATTCTAAAGTTTTTGGTCTGAGCAACTGGTGCCATTTATGGGGAACAGGAACACTGGAGGGGGAAAAACAATGGGGAAGATCCGGAAATCAAGTATTCTGTTTCAGGTATGTTAATTTGAGATGTCTATTAGACAGCCAGATGGACATGTCAAGTAGGCAATTACATAAACGAATCTGGAGTTCAAGGGACCGATTCCGGGCTAGAGATGGAAATCTGGGAGTCATCAGTTTACAGACGTTATTTAAAGTCACGAGACTTGATGCATTCACTGGGAGGTTACAGTAGATAGAGAAGAAAAGAGATCCAGGGACTGAAGCCTGGGACACTCCAACACTGAGAGAGGCGTGACAGGAAGGAAGCAAAGTGGTTAATGAGGTAGGAGGAGAATCAAGAAAAAGTTGTGTCCAGGAAAACAAGTGGAGAAAGTATTCCAGATTATTGGAGCTTCCTTTAGTTTATCTTAGGGCTTTTCACATGCTAACATACATAAGAATCACTCTACAAGGTGATTTTATACACAGTATCTTATTTATTTATTTTGCGGGAAACTTAAAGGATTTTCAAGGTTATTTTGACTTGGCTCGAATTTAGCTGTAGATGCTGACTGAAGAACGTACCTGTGGTGGGATGGGATCCACTGTAGGTCCTGAGGTGCTAGGAGGATTCCAAGTACTGTAAGGACAGAGGCAGTGTTTACCAGGGACTCAAGTGTTAGAGTTTTATGTCATTGAACTTTTTTTGATAATTGCAACTTTTAAAATATTTTATTATATTGGGGCCGGCCTGGTGGCACAGTGGTTAAGTGTGCATGTTCTGCTTCGGTGGCCCGGGGTTCGCCGGTTCAGATCCTGGGTGTGGACATGGCACTGATTGGCAGGCCATGCTCTGGTAGGTGTCCCACGTATAAAGTAGAGGAAGATGGGCATGGATGTTAGCTCAGGGCCAGTCTTCCTCAGCAAAAAGAGGAGGATTGGCGGCAGATGTTAGCTCAGGGCTAATCTTCCTCAAAAAAAAAAAAAAAAATAAATAAATAAATAAAATAAAATATTTTATTATAGAGAATATCAGATGTGCAAAATTAGCAGAATAATATAATGGTATAATAGCCTCTGTGTTCCCATCACCCAGTTCAACAATTATCAATTCATGGCCAACCTTGTTTCCTTTATATTCCATCACTATCCCCCATACATTTTGAAACAGCCTCCAAACATCATATCACTTCATCAGTAAACATTTCAGCATGTATCTTTAAAATAAAGACTTTTGGGGGCTGGCCCTGTGGCTGAGTAGTTAAGTTTGCGTGCTCTGCTTCGGTGGCCCAGGGTTTTGCGGGTTCGTATCCTGGGTGCGGACATGGTACTGCTCATCAAGCCGTGCTGAGGCAGCGTCCCACGTGCTACAACTAGAAGGACCCACAACTAAAAACATGCAACTATGTACCGGGGGGCTTTGGGGAAAAAAAGGAAAAATAATATCTTTAAAATAAAGACCTTTTTACATTAAGACAATATCATTATCACCCCAACAGTTAACAGTTTTTTACTTTAAGAAATCCAGTAAGAACTCAAATTTCGTTTGATAAATATGGTTTTTTTTAACAATTTTTTTTTGAATCAGGATTCCAATAAGGTCCATACATTGAGAATGGGGTTATATCTTTTAAGTCTCTATACATTCTCCCCTTACCATTTCTTATATATGTATGTGAGAATATTATATTATAATAAATATATATATTATTTTTTGTTTTTACTGGCAAATTATTTGTTGAAGGGAGCACAATCTAGGTTTTGATGATTGCATCCTCGTGTTGGTGGTGAAATGGTCAACATGTTTCTCTATCCTCTGAATTTCCTGTAAAAAGGGAGTTGAATCTAGAGCCTTGATCAGCTTTTTTAGATTTTTTTTCTTTTGCCAAAACTACTTTATAGGTGCTGCTGTTTTCTTCCACCAGGACTCCTTTAATATCTGGTTCCATTTCTTTGTTGTGCTGCTGGAGGCTCTTCGCGATCAAAGCCTAGGTCTGAACGTTCTAGCTCTAGCCTTCCGTCTTCATTTACTAACCGTAGCACTCCTACGAAGAGAAACTTCCCCACAGTCTGTATCTGGTTTCTCAGTGATAGAGTTCATACAGGAAAGGCAACATAAATGCTTGATTTCTTACCTTTATTTATCAATTTTCAAAATAATGATTTGGTCTCTAGTGTCCTCCCACAGAGACCAATTAGGGCTTTGGGGTGGGTTGGGGTGGGGGATGTTGTGAATGCATGAATTTAATTATTTGATGTGTTTCAATCCATTGCAATTATCCCCACTGATGCTCAAATTATCCATCATCAGCCAGTGGAAGCCCCTTCCATTGGTTCCTGAATCCTTTTAATGCATAATCCTCACTACCTAGTGCCACAAGATGTTCAGGTTGATCTTGTATATTTCCCATTCAGACCTGGACTCAGCCATTTCTCCTCGAAGCCCTGGTTCTTTTTAATGGAAAAGGAATTAAAGTTGTTATGTACCATATGGGGTCACAGAATCAAAGACCCGGGCCGTAGGTGTTGAAGGAGATGTCACCTTGGTGAGCAAAGCTATACTAGAATCCTCTAGAACTCAGAATTCCACTGGGCACTATTCACACCAACCTCCTCTCAAGCTGTTGATCTAAGAAAAGGATGCTATTATCTCCCAAGCAGACAGCGTGGGGCCAAGCTGACGGCTTTGTTTCATTCAATCCAAGTAAGTAAAATGAGAAAAAAATGGAGCCCATGGAAAAAGGCTACTGAGTAAGAGAAAGGACAAATCCTTTCCTCCCTAAAGAACAAGAGGAAGGGACAAGTCCCTGAAAATGCAGATCACTGCAGGGCCAGAAAGAAAGTGCCGGGACGTCATTCAGCATCCTAAATAGGATGGAAGGAGAGACGTCTTTCACAAAACACGGGCAGACAGCCGCAGGATGAAAACAAGCTGAGGAGAAAAAGAACAAAATAAATAGAAAAGTAGATGCATGAGATAAGGAATTCTAAGGTAAAATTAAAAACACAAGAGCAAAATTACGATCAGACTCTGCATCGACATATATAATACGGTTGTTTTCACGTAACAATATATGAGAACTATCTTTCCATATGTCATTAAACATTTTTTTTACTGTGATATTTCCAATGACTGGACTGCATGGGTAATTCAACATAGGAAGGGCCACACTCCCTTGAACTCAACCCCTCATGTTAGAAAATTCAATATTTTCCAGGTTTTTCTGCCGTTACGAGTAATATGAAGAGGACATATCCTTGTACCTCTGTCCATGTATTCACCAACTATTTATCGAGCATCTAATGATTACTGGACACGGTGCTAGGTGCTGGGGTGCGAGGCGGTAAAAAAGATGGACACAGTTCCCATCTTCATGGACCTTGCAGTACAACAGAGAAACAGGAGAATTAAGTAAGAAATTTCAACACTTTTGTGATAAATGATAGAAAAATTGTATGATGAGAAGGAAACACATGGCCAGGAAGCCTAACCTATTTTAGATTTTCCTGAGAAAGTGACATTTGATCTGAGAACTGAAGAATGAGAAGAGGTAAGCTAAGAAAAGAATTGCAAATAATGTTTCAGGGAAACAGAAGAGCATGTGCAAAGGCCTGAATATGAGAAGAGCAAGGCATACTCAATGGCAGGTCCCGAAGGACCTTGTCACAGAAGGATGTTAAACATAGGTGTATCATAGTCAATTTTTTTCTATAGAAGACACACTCTGGAGCACAGTGGACATTGGATTGTAGCACAGCATGACTAAAGGCAGACAGGCCATTTAGGAAGCTGTTCAAAAGCCCAGGCAAGAAACGGTGGTGGGACAGAAGAGGGTGTTGGCAGTGAACATGCAAGGAAGCCGATGGACTCAGAAAAGACTTAGGGGAGGCTGATTCATTTGATGTGGGCGGTAAGGGAGAGGGGTTTCAAAGCTAGATCCCAGGTTTCTGACTTTAGCAACCAGGGGGTGCCCTTTACTAGTAACGGGAGAAAGAGAAGAGAGAAATTATGAGTTCAGTTGGGTACTGTTGAGTTTGAGGTTCCTACAAAGTTCCTAAATGGAAATATCCAATATGCAGTTGGATACACAGATCTGGAGTTCAGGATCTCTCCTGAGACCTGGACTGGGATTCCAGATTTGGGATCCATCGGTGTATGGGTTGTCATCAAAGCTTTGGGAGTGCCTGAGATCTTATAGAAAAACTATACAGAGGGAGAAAGAACAGCACCTGGGGCAGCCCGCTGAGGAACAGCACCAACGCTTAAGGGATGGGCGAAGGAAAAAGACACTGAGAGGGAGCAGCCAGAGAGAAAGGAAGAAAACGAGAAAACATGCAGCTTTATAGAAGCTGAGGAAAGAGCTGTGTTATGAGGAAGTGTGGCTAACAGCATCAAATATTTCCGAGAGGTTAAGAAAGACAAGAGCTGAAAAGATTCCGCTGGATTTAGTGACCATCTATAGGACGTGACAAGAGAAGCGACAGTGGTGAGTTGGGCGGGATGACCAGATTTCAGAGTAAAGATTTAGCTGAAGGTGAGGAAACAGTCAATCGATCTCTCCTTTGACTTTTGACCCAATTTGAGCAACACTGTCTTTTACTCAAGACAAGTTGAATTCATCTACATTTATTTTCACAATGGTTTTATTTGGGTTTTCTTCTTTCATTTTGTTTTATGCTTTCTTATTTTTATGTTCCATTGCTCTTTCTTTTCTATTCTATTTTTTGCTGGGTAGACCATTGTGTTTATCATTATCTCCTGAAGTGAACCGGAGGGTAAACAGCCTGCTTTTAATTCTACTCAGTAGTGGAACCTGAATTCGAACCCAGGCCATCTCAGAGTCTGCACTTGCAGCTGCTGTGCTATACTGCATCTCTTGTGACCCAAAGCATCATAATAGAGATAGCAAATTAGTTTGCCCTTGAAAATAGTTACACCATATGGGCAATAATTTCACTTCTAAAAATATACCTTGCACATACATTATGAGAATTGCACATAGGTATTCATTGCAGCATTATTTATCATAGCAAAACAATGCAAATTTGTATAGGTTTTCTCTTTTTAAAAAATAATATCCATAGCTGTCCCTCTCTAGTGTTTGACTTGTCCTCTGGTCCGTGTTAAAAGTTTTTGTCTTGTATCTGAATTTTGCTTGTAAATTGATCACAACCTTTTAAAAGCTGATTGAAAAAATTCACATTATAATTTGTACCCTGTTTGCTCCCCGAGATGGCTGACTGTTTACGACACAGAACAAGACTTGACATACAGGGATGGAGCAGCTCAGAGTCCATCTGAAGGAGGCAGAAGGGGTAGCATTTTCTGGCATCAGAGTCGAACACATTACAAGACCTAGGAAATTTGGCTCTAAGATGTCTGACAAAGAAGCAGAAAGAAACACAGTAAGTTACATAATTTTCATTGTCCAATAAGACAAAGAATTCTACCATTCTTCTGTGGAGGTAGCTTTTTCTGAGGTCTAAAATCAAGCAGGAATTTATTACATGAATCCTCGTATAAAGGGTACTGAGGGACACTGAAGACTATCTGTGATACTGTGATTCATAAGAAATAGTATACATTTGGTTTTTGTCTAGTTTCTGGCATGGAAATCCTAAAACCATTGGAATTTCCTGAGCTATAAGAGCAATGGCAGCATCTTTTGTTATAGTATTTGGTCTCTTGTCTTCAGTTCCTGAAATCGCTTCAGAGCCATAAAGGTGAAATGGGTGTCTTGTTATTCATAACAAACTCCCTTCAATCACAACTGAGTTTATGTTAATGAGGTGACTTTTGGAAACGCCCTAAAGATAGGAGGGGGCTGGTCACCAAGGAAGCCGACCGCATGATTAGAGGGTTGGAACAGTCCCACCCGTGATCTCCGGGGAGGGGAGAGGGCTGGAGACTGAGTTCAATCATCAATGGCCAATGATTGGATCAGTCATACCTATGTAATGCAGCCTCCATAAACATTCAAAAGGAGGGGCTTCAGTGAGCTTCCAGGTTAGTGAACACATGGAGCTTTGGAGAGACTGACACTCCTGGAGAGGCATGGAAGCTGGGCTCCCCTCCCCCATACCTTGCTCTATGCGTCACTTCCATCTGGCTGTTCCTTTCCTGAGTTATAGCCTTTCATAATAAATGGGTAATCTGTAAGCAAAATGTTTCTCTGGGTTCTGTGAGCCACTCTAGCACATTAATTGAATCCAAGGAGGGGGTCACTGGAACCTCCCATGTCTAGCCAGTCGGTCAGAAGCCAGTCTGAAGTCGGGGGTGGCGCGGTAGGGACAGTCTTGTAGGACTGAGCCTTTAACCTGTGGGATCTGACACTATCTCTGGGTAGATAGTGTCAGAATTGAGTTGAACTGTAGGACACAGCTGGTGTCGGAGAATGGCTTGCTGGTGTGGGGAAAAACCCCCCTCCGCACATCTGAATTGGGTGCTCAGACCTCTTACTATCTTTAAACATTTTATAAAGAAATCCTATTAAGCTCATTTGCCTGGATGGCTCTCTATGAACTTGCCATAAAAGCCCCCAGCAAGGTACCTGCTCCTAACCTGGGGAAGGTTTTTATGCAAAGAGCTGAAAGGTGGGGTCTGGGTCTCTGTCTCCTGGTCATATTTCTGTCTTCCTCTCATTGGTGGAGCTCTGCCACCAGCAAGGCAGATCCCATGCTGCTCCAGCTCTGCTGTGAAAGCCCCCTCACGTGAATACGAGCTGGGGGTGGGTGAGGAGAGGTTGTAGCCCAAAAAGGCCAGCTGTAAGCTAAAATTTCTTCGAAGATTTGCAATTTATATTTAAAAGCCATGTGAATTTTACAGTCTGTTTCATAATGTGTTATACATAAAAATGTATTTCCCCCTTAAAACTTCTAACAAAATTGGTGCTCCAGGAAGATGGGCTGTATTTATCCTACTTGAGTATCCCTTGGCAAGCCGCCTCGGACCTCACTCCTCCCACAGACATGCTATGATTTTAATTTGATGTTGGGACAGTACTTCCAGGGTCTAGATTAGTAAACTGCTTCTGTCCAGTATTAAATGTCTTAGAACAGAACATCATCTATTAGTCTAAGGTATCGAGAGGAGGGTCTGCGTAGCTCTGGCAGACAGGTGTTCAAATACGAGTTGACACTACCTTGTGAATATTTGTGAGTTGGACTTCCTGTCCAGCCGGCAGAGAAAGCCAGTGTTCCACACAGGTCCAAACGTCAAGAGCAACGACATTAGGCAAGAGCTGATACTTATTTCTCAGGAAAGATATTTTAATCTGTAGAATCATGATTGATCATGACCTACCTGAAGGCCCAGGGAGAAGATGCCTGGGTAGTGGACACTTGGTGGGGCTTACCTCGCTACAGTAACAAGGCTCTAAGGAACGGTTTGAAATCTCCAACTTGGCACAGGCCCTCTGTGAGAGGAAGAATGCTCTAAGCACTTTGCACATTGAGTCATTTATTCTGTAAGCTCAGTCCCGTTCAGTTGGCCCTTTTTCCGGCTAGGATTCCTGGGTCTTGAAAGCCTAAGGTTAGCTAAAGCAACTCTGCAGGGAGGGGTGATGTGCAAATCCTCTAGTTGCGTTTAGGGTTGGGCTGGACCATCATCTACGTTTACAGAAGGGTGGAAGGCCCAAGATCAATTGGAAAAAGATGTATCCTCCTAAAATGGGAGGCCACAACCTCCATGAGCAAGACTCTTGGCGTGCAGGTCATGGGTAGGCCAGTAGCCATCGGAAAGCTCCATTTAACAAGGAAGAAAATACTTCATTGCGAGAAAGTATCTAAAACAGATGCTGGCCACCTCTTCCATAGAAGAACCTCAGAATGACCTCAGCAGTACAGCTATTTCAAGAAAAATTTCTTCTCAATGAACCATCAAATGAGTAAGCTACAAATTGCATCCCAAAAGAACTAAAAGATTGAACTCCTTGGTACCATTTTTAAAGAGTCATTTAAATACCGGCAAAACTGCTATTTCAGACTACACAGGTTAGCCAGTGGGAAGCACCAGCAGGAGGTAAGGTTGGGTATTTACTCCTCCAGAGCCCTCCTTGTAGGGCTGTTGGTTGGCGGTGGCTGCATTTCTCTACAGAAGGCTACAGTCCTGTTGAGGAGCCCTCTCCTATAGCTACAGCTCCCACCAAATTCTGGCAACTGCTCCCTCCCCCGCCCCTTCGGCTTTAGGGGTAGAAATGCCAACCTGAGATGTTTCACCACCCCTTCCCGGTTTCTACTAAGCCTGACCACACTGCTGTGGATGGTCCCTTCATTAACCTCTATTCTGCTCCCCTTTGGCCTGTATCTTCTTTCCACTGCTAGCACCCTGACCCAGAGACACTCCTCACTCCAGGTCCGGCTGAGGAGGCAGCCACCATCTGCAACTGACGAGAAAAAGAGCACCGTGGATGGTACCTTGTTGTAAAGGCTTCTTCTTGGAAATGACACATGATACTTGGGTCCATTCTTCATAGACCAAAGCGAGTCATAAGGTGTATTCATTATGTATTGTTGTATAACAAATAACCGCAAAACTTAGTGGCTGAGAGCAATTACCCCTTATGCTGTCACACAGTTTCTGAGGGCCAGGAATCTGGGAGTGGCTTAGCTGGGTGGTTCTGGCCCAGGGTCTCTCACAAGGCTGCAGCGAAGATGCCAGGGCTGCAGGCATTTGGAGGTCTGACAGGGGCTGGGGGATCTGCTTCCAGGGCGGTTCACTAACATGCCTGCAACTTTGGACTGGTTGTTGGCAGGAGGCCTTGGTTCCTAGCCAGTGGACCTCTCTAAAGGGCTGCTTGAGTGTTCCCATGACATGGCAGCCAGCTTCCCCTGGAATGAGCAAGTCAAGAGAGATCCCAAGAGGGAAGCCACAAAACCTTTTATGACCTAGTCTCAGAAGTCAGACAGTATCACTTCCAGAATATCCTATTCACTCTAAGTGAGTTATTAACTCTAGCCCATATCATATGGGCAAAGCTAAACTTCATCTCCGGAAGGGAAGAGTATCAAAAAACACATGGATATTTTAAAACCACCACACAGGCCTACACCTAACTTCAAAGCATACAATGTGGCCGGAAGATGAAGCTCAAACATTTGGCGAATAGTACTAATGACTGGAAGAATCCCAGGAGATTTTATTGGCCACTTAAGAGTTAAAATCTGGATCCAAGTTTTACCATTGTGTTTGATTTATGAATCCTTGCTATACGAATCTTGGGGTCATGGTGTTGAAATAGAATTTGATCCCAATCCAGAAATCCCTAGGAGTGGGAAGAGGGACAGCCCAACAGCCAGACTTCCTTGAAATGATAAGTAATTCCCAGGGCTAATCCCCTCTGGGAAGAAGAGATTCTTTACGTAAGAAAATGAATTATTACATGAGGCCCTAGGCAGGCAGGAGTGGGGAAATCCAGTTCTTTTCATGAGCCTCATTGTGCTGACCTTGAACTTCCCTGGTGGGGGGAGCCAAGGTGGTGTCCACCCTGTGGAGCTGGGAGGTCTGGAGTCAGAGAGAGGGACTTCTGGAGAGAGTCACAAAATAAACCCTGGCTTGTGAGCCAACTTCCCTCTTCCATATTACTCTTTGTGTTCATTTCTCATTTGTATGTCCTAAGGTTTTGATAAAACCTATTTGAGCGGGCTAGTCTTGTCCCAGAAGTCCAGATCATGAGACAAAGGTGATGTATCAAGGGGGGAGCAGCGTGTGGGAGGCAGGAGTAGCTGAAGAGAGACTCATGGGGAGAAGTCAGGCTCAAGCTCCAAGTTGGAGCCACACGGTCCAGCTCTCCCCACCAAGAGACTCTGCTCTCATGACTAGACATAGAAATTCTGGGTTGTATTTTATTAAGACATCCAGTATTTCCTTACTACCAGCTACCCCCAATCTGCTTGACCCTGCAACCTCAGCTGTCAACACAGCAGCCCAGAAATCCAGGCAATACTAAGATCTTGGGCAGTGGGTGCAGATGCCCAACGATGTATTTGTGAGGGAGTTGTGCAATCATTTCCAGACCTAAGACCTGAGGCAGAAGAAATGGAAGAGACTTCCAGTCAGGGCAAGAGGTCCAAGAGAGTCAGAGAGAGTTTCTCTATCTGATGGAGCCGAGGTCCTGCAGGGAAATGAAAACGCTTTCCACCCTTGAAGTCTTCCCCAGGACCTGGGTGAACTTCTGTGAGCCTCTCTCCCTCCAGCAAAGCAAGGTCATAGGAACAAACAATACAACACCTCATGCCGTGCCTGCTCCACAGCGGCCTTTGGACTGTGGGCTCGTGGCGGCGTTCCAGCCGTGGAGAGGCAACGCAGACCCGGGTCAGGATTTGCTGGGGCACCATGCATTGATTGTACCTGTATGATGAACAAGCATGGTTTGTGACTAAAACTTTATTTTTCTGTCTCCCACTACCCTTTAAACTTTATTCAGTGAGGAAACTTTTCTTCTGCTACTGGATGAAAACTCAGGAGGCCTCATGAATTTTGGGTGCTCAGTTTCAGGTAGCAGAGAGCCTTGCAGTCACTTTAGGTCAGAAGGACAATCTCATTCAGTGGTTATATAATGGGCTTTCCTTAAAGACTCTTCAGTCTCCATTTGAAGGAAAGTCTCCCTCTCTCACAGCCGAGGCTTGTAGTTGGTGCTACCATCTCTGGGAAAGACTTCTTCTTCCAACCCAGTCCCCTGGGCTCCATCCCATAGCGGCTCTTTCCACCATCACCAGATGAGGGAAAGGGCAGGCGATGAGGTAAGGGGTCTGGTCTCACGCTGCTTGCCTGGACAGCTTTGCACTCTCTGGGCTGACAGAGAATTAAAGCTGACTCCCTGTTGTGGGTGCTTTCATGGATGGCTCAGAGACTCCCACCCCAAGACTTTCCTCCCAGTTCCCTTGACCCACGTGATGCATCTGTATTCTGGATGGTCACTTGTGACATCTTTACTTCCAGCTTCTTACTGGGGCCCCACAGGCTAACTCCTCTGTGTGGCCCACTTCTGATCCATGGGAAACACTTGCCTTTGTTCCAGTGAAGTCTGGGATGACCCTAAGATACCAGCAAGCTCCTAGCTCTGCCCCCAAATCCCTGAATCAGTGCATCTGTCTGTCCTACTCCAGAGAAGGGAATCAGACCCCAGGCTCCAGGCACCCCCTCAACTCAGGAGGTCTTGTGGTATGGTCGCTATCTCCAAAGATGGCCGCCATCAATTCCTTCCCTTCCTTTATATACATGCCCAATCAGCTAGCAAGAAGTGGAGTCTATACTCCTATACTCCACCCCCTAGAATCTGAGCTAGCCTGTGACTGCTTAACCAACAGCATGTGGTGGAAGTGACTCTGTGCCAGTCCTGGGCCTGTCCTTTAAGAGGATTGGCAGCTTCCCCTTCCTCCCTTCCTCCCTGTTGGCACCCAGCCTCCATGCCGTGAGGAAGCCCAGGCAGCCACACAGAGGAGAAGCAAAGCCCTCAGCCAGCAATCCCCACTGACCACGCAGCCATCAACCAGTGCCAGCTTGCCAGCCAGGTGAGTGAGTCATTTTGGAGCTGACACCATGTGGAACAGAGACAAATTGTCCCCACTGAGCCTGGCCCAAACTGTAAAATTGTGAACAAATCAGTGGTTCTTGTTGTTTGAAGGCACTAATTTTTGCAGTGGTTTGTTTTGCAGCAATAGGTGACTGAAATACTGGGTGAGCTCTCCAGCGAGTGTCATGGAAGCCTTTCCTGCTCAGCTGGGGATGAAGCCGATGACACCCCCTTTCCTTCCCACGTGGGTACATGGAGGACTCAGCATGGCAACAGATCTCTCCAAGGAAGACTCTTCACACGTCATCCCCTCTCCCCACGCTCTAACTGATTTTCAGATCCCTGATCTGCCTGAGGCATCCAAGAGATGTAGAACCAGTTCTTAAAACTCCTTTGTCAATTCAAGATGTTTGAGAATTCTGTCTCACACTCACTTGGAGGCCTAATATCGTTCATATTAATTTCTCAGCTAAAGCTAAGGCCCAAAGAACCTCATCTTGAGGTCCTGGGGCACCGAGTCCAGGCCTGGCTGGGGCATACACTGACCCCTGAGAGCCTTCAGGCAGGTGGGTGGTGCCGAGCAGTGAGTTTTTCAAATTTCTTTTAACCAGAAAGTCCTGACAGAATCTTATTTGAAGGCCCAAACCAGTTGAAAGCCACGTCATAGTTGAAGAGGGAGTGAGCGGTCTGAGCTGGCCCAGGGCCCCCCCATCCTTGCCCCGATAGTGCCCCTAACGTGACATAAATGGCCTGGGTTCTGCAGAGCACAACTGGAACACCACTGTATATGGCGACGAGCTCGAGCTTGGGAGCAGCTTGAACTTCTCTGCATCTCAGCTTCTTCACTGTAAGATGCGGGAGACGACACTACCTACCTCACAGGTTGTCGTGAGAGGTGGAGGAGACAGTGGAAGCACATTTGTACCGGGCTGGTATTCCACAAGCATCTGTCCCCTTTCTCCTTTCAGCTGGACTCATGTTTCCAGTCACCAGCACACCGAGTTTCCTCCCTGGTTCAGTGGAGAGCCTGCTGCCGCACCCCGGGGCTCAGCAGGACGTCACTGCGTGGGACAACCCACAGCTTGTCTTCTAGAGGGTGTCCAGACCATCCTGTGTCCTGTCTCCAGAATCTGACTCCTGGCGAGGGAGGGGTTAACACAGTGCGCCTCCCCCACAGGGTGAACTTCAGTCAGGAGAAAGGCTGATCACAAAATCGCTGGGGTGAACCAAACCTTTTCAGTGCCCCCCAATGGCAACCCAGGGAACTCGCCTCTCACAGCCCCTGCTGGGTGCTTACTGTAGGCTAGACAGGCGCCCAGTGCTTTACACGCATTATCTTGTTTAATCCCCACAGCAACGTGGTGCAGTGGATACCATTATGTTGTTTCGCAGGTTAGAAAACTGAAGTTCACAAAGGTTAAGCCAGTAATCCCCAAGTTTGGGGGCCTATCAGAATAACTGGGGAGCTCTTAACATGCACGTTCCCGGGCTGCACTTCAGATCAAAAGAATCAGAATGCAGTTTTTTAGGGTCAAAGGTGCACACCTATCCAGTGGGAAGACAGGGCTGGGACGAGGGTGAGACAATCAAGGCTGCCTGAGCCAGGGTGCACCTCCCTCGCGGGTGCCCATCCGCTTTCAGACCCAGCAAGCCAGGGCCTTCTTACAACCTATGCCCCAGGTGTCCCCTGGCCTCATCCTGGTTCCACCCACCGCAAAGCCAGAACTGAGATGCAGGCCTGTCTGTGGACAATCTAGCCATGAGGTTACTACAGTCCCAGGAGGCCTTAGGGCAGAGCTTCTCACACTTGAATGTACATCAGAATCATCTGGGGGGGCTGGTCGGGCTCCACACTGAGATCCACCGCCTTCAGGTGGGAGGAGAAGCCAGCATCTAGGGCAACAGCTTCCTTCTCTAGATTTCTCCCCTAAGGGTCTGTGATGAAGTGCTCAGAGCAGCTTCAATGCCCCACGCTTCGACCCCAAGATATGCCAAACTGGGCTTGATTTCCCCATCGCCCACCTGCCCCCCAGGCACCTTGAGGCCAGGTGTCCTAAAGCAGCTCCAGTTTCCACAAGAAAGGATCCTAGGGAGAGGGTGTAAGGTTTCAGCGTGGAGAGGTCAGGCCTTACCACGTCAGGACTGATGGGGGCTCTGGTCTGACCCCTCCGTGGGGACCCCATCCATCTGCTTGCGGGCTGCTGGGAGGGCGATGTTACGCTCGTGTTTGTTTCTCTGCTTTTTGCAGCTCCGAGTTTACGGGAAAAGACGAGCCTGATCTTAAAGTTCCTGGGTTCTCCCTGCTCCCTCGTTGAGCAATTGTCCTGAGAGCAGTTGCAGACATTTGCGCTAATTAGTTAATTTAATTTTATGTGCACCTTGTTGGGGACCGAATTCAGTGTATCAATTAATGGCAGCTCACATGCAAACGAGTGGAATTCACAGTCCCCAGACTTTAGGGTTTTGGTTTTGGTTTTGGTTTTGAACAGCCCGTAAGGCCCTAAGCCAGCACTGGGTATTTCCTTCTGATCCTCAAAAAAGTGTTTCTGATTCATTAAACACCTAATCGCGCAGCTCTTGAGGGAAGTTCCTACTAAAAATGAAAACCAGCCTCCAGCCTCCTCCTCACTTCCACCCCCACCAACTGCAGGCTCAAAGGCCCCTCGCAGCTCTCTGAGGTTCCCTGACACCCTGACCTGCTCCTGACCTCTGACCCCGATCTCATCCTCCCGATTTTACCGTTCGACCCTGGGCCCATGGTGGTTTGGGGAAAGAGCTCTGAGTTGGGTGTCAGGACATGTGAGCTCAGCCCACTGACCAGCTGTGTGTCCTGGGCAGTCACCTCTCCTCTCTTAGGCTTTGGTTTCCTCCTCACATACAGGGGCAACAGGATGGCGGTTTCTGCCAAAGGAAATAGGAGACCCTGCTGGGAGGATGAATGTAGAGCAGGCATGATGGTGGCCCTGGGGACTGGGAGGGGAAGGACTTCCTCCGGGGTTTTGGGAACCGGATTTGAAGGTGGGAGGGGAGGGCGTGGCGCGGGTGAGGGGTGCGCAGGTCCTGGCTGGGGGAGGGGCGGTTTGCAGCATCGCTGGGCTGCCCTGTTATCTTTGTTGGCAGCTGCACTGAGGGGGCCTCCTCCAGCGTCAGGGGGCTGCGAAGTTCCCTGGGAGCCTCTCATCCCAGGCTGCGGGGACAGCCAGCAAGGGCTGACCAGAGCCTGCGTGTGGACAAGTTCAGAGAGCTCAGGGGGGCCCAGGCTGGCCCTAGGCCGACCATGACCTAAGAGAGAGAAGTCCCCGTCCCATCCTGAGCCCTGAGAAACACCTGCGGCCTGCGAGGCTGGCCTCAGTGGCCTAGGCCCTTCCTCAGTGGACGTGGCCTTGCACTGCGAGGCCACCCACCTTCTCAGCAGCAGCCGCACAACGAGTGGCCCTTTCAGCCTATTTGCGTCTTCTCAGAGGTGAAGGGACTGTGACTGGGAGGCACTCAGGGGTCTCTAGACCCACTATTGGGAGGACACTCTCTTTTTTTATTATTAATTTTTTTTTTAAAGATTTATTTTTTCCTTTTTCTCCCCAAAGCTCCCCGGTACATAGTTGTATATTCTTCGTTGTGGGTCCTTCTAGTCGTGGCATGTGGGACGCTGCCTCAGCGTGGTTTGATGAGCAGTGCCATGTCCGCGCCCAGGATTCGAACCAATGAAACACTGGGCCGCCTGCAGTGGAGCGTGAGAACTTAAGCACTCGGCCACGGGGCCAGCCCCTTTTATTATTAATTTTTAATTTAAACATTTTATTTATTCATTTGTTTACTTATTAAGCTTTATTGAAGTATAATTGACAAACAACAGGAGGACATTTTTAATAAGTACTATGTTGGGAGCATGGAATCACTTATTTGGATCTTAAAAAATAGTTTCTTATTTTCATTCAAGCTGGTAAAGCAAGACATCTGGTTATTGGAAAGAACTAGCCTGTCACTCCTTTCGAGCTGCTGTAACCAACTACCACAGAGTGGGTGGCTTATAAACAACAGAAGCTAACTTCTCACAGTTCTGGAGGCTGCAAGTCCCAGATCAGGGTGCCAGCGTGGTCGGGTTCTGGTAAGGGCCCTCTTCCGGGTTACAGACTGCCAAATTCTTGCTGTGTCCTCACATGGCAGAAGCTCTGTGGGGTCTCTTTTACGAGAGCACTAATCCCATTCACGAGGGCTCCAGCCTCGGGACCAAAGGGGCCCCCCCACCCATGCCATCATATTGGGCATTAGGATTTCCACATACGAATTTGGGGGATGCAAACCTTCAGACCACAGCACAGACTATGCTGACCTCTGCGGGCCGCTCAGCAGTAAGGGGCCTTGAGTCCACGAGCCGTCTGATCCCCTACTTAACTGAGCAATAGCCAACGTTCTTGAGCACTCAGGACAGTGTGCTGGGCACTGGACATGCATTAACGCGTCTAATACAACACTTCTGCCCAGAAGCACTATACTCATCCCCACTTGGTACCGAGGAAACCGAGGCAGGGCACAGTAAGTAGCTTACCCGAAATCATAGAACTTGTAAACAGTGGAGCCAGGAATCAAACCAGGCCTGAAAGTGGACTCTTGGTTTTGCAGCCCAGAGTCCCACTCCTGGCTGCTTCTCCAGGTCCGGCCCCACCTGGAGGTCCCTGACTCCTGTGACAGGCAGGAACTCACCTGCCTGTGGAGCAGAGAGACCTTCCCCCTGGAGCGAGGACTGGACACTGGGAGGCGGTCCGCTGGCAGGCAGGACACCTGGGAGTGGCTTCAAGTTCAACACTGGATCATCGGGGCAGAACCCGCGTGTGGCAGAACGTTTAAAAAAGGTTCTAATGTCCTATTTCTGTTGAAATATAATGCAGCTAGACAAGACGCCTGTGTGTTTGTTCAAATGGTTTGAAAGAGACGCTGCCGACCAGGAGGGGAAACAGCGAGCAAACCCCGGTGCTTGTTCAGAAACTCTAAAAACAAGAAAACCATTTTTGTTTGTTTTTTAAGGAGGCAGAAAATTCTCAAACCACGACTGGGAGATTGAAGGAATGAGAGGGGTTTGTGGACTCTTCGATGAGAAAGAGGCGCGTCCTTCCTCACAAGCTGGAGAGATGGAAGGGCGGCTGGCTGGATGGGGAGTCGGGAATTCTCTCCAAAGCCGGGACTCGGAACCCCAGGAGGGCTTTCGCAGACCCCCAAGGTCCCCCTCTCTAACCCCTTGCCCCAGATTCTGGTGGCTCTCCCAGACGAGGCTCGCCCTGTAGCCTCGATTACTGCTAGGGCTGTCCTGGCACAGGGGGCAGGGGCAGCCGAGAGTGGGCGGAAAACCAGGGAGAATCAGCCAGGCGCGGCCGAGTTATGAGCAGATTTTCCCCCAG